AGGGAAAGTAAGTGGCATGTCTCTCATTCTGTGAACTCTTGTCTTCCGGGTGGATCCGTGGTAGAGGGGGCCGCATGTCGGGCTCCAGGTATCCATCCGCTCATCCCGGAGCTCGACACATCTGAGGGGGGCTTGCCTGGGTTGCCGGGCATATCACCGTACAGTTCCAGCTTACGACGCCCCTACCAGTTATCCGGAGGGATGGGGTACAACGGCCCAGGATCTGGCAGACGCGCATAGCCGCCTGCGGACATGGACGCGGGAATATGAGCCGCTGAAGACGGACATTGGAGAAACAAGACAAGTGTCAGGATTCCGGCAGTTACTCTAATTAAATCATGAGCCTCGAGCCACACTCCCAAAACTGAAAAGGATTTATTTGAAGGTAACATTCTATTTCTGGCACTAACCTGGGCGTAGCCAACTCTGAGATACCTAATTCACTGTCACCCTTGATCCTGCTTTTCACCCCCACCCCTCTGGGTGTATCATCCAACGAAGCACATCCATAGCCAAGAGTCATCAATCATGCTCTCCAATTAGATTTTTTTCGTTCAGCCATCTAATCAGTCTTTGAAGAAAATATGAATGGAAGGTACTTTCGATTCCACACTGTTGCCTGCTCTTTGAAACCCACCCACCCCCCGTTTTTTTTCTATTGTCAACTATAAAACGTGTATACAAAATGTTTGATGAGTTGACAACAAGACGAAGAAAGACAGGGGGGGGATGTTGGGAGATGAGAGACATAAGGAATGATGGAATAGGGAAAGGCGCAAGGACGTAGGCCCGGAGTGGAGGCACGGGGGATGTTAATAACTTTAGGCGGATGCCAGGCAACCAGGGATGAATAGGAGAGGGCGGGGCAGCGGAGATATATAATGCGCTGAGAGGCAGCCGCACTCAGCGCTAACTTTGACTGGGATACCTGTTCCCACCTGTTGGGATCAGATTGTTGTCAATAAATCGGGCGTGGCATCTCTAACACATGAGTTAAAGACTGTTTATTTGACACAAATGCTCCAATTCCCCCCTGGGAGGATGAGACCTGCAATCAGGGGTGGGAATCAGCCGGTTTGGACCGGTTTGCACGAACCGGTAGTTCTGGCGATTAGTTGGCCCCATATCTCTCCTATCTTTCCATATTTTGCAGCCCAGCTGGTTCATGCAGCACAATGTACTGCCGCTCCTCAGCGGTTTTACTCAACCGAGGCTGCAGCAGAAGTTTTTAAACACTGTGCACGCACGCAAACCAAAGCAATTACATCACCGGAGCGCACTCTCACTGGACCAGTTATTACACCAGTTGAATCCCATCGCTGCCTGCCATCCTCTTTGTTGAACTTCTCTGCGCTTTTCCTAGATCAGTGATAGCGTGTGTGCCGGTACCCACAATGCAATGTGCCCCGTCACACATGCACACACAACCCCGCCCCGCACTGTTACCTGCACTGCGCATGTACGCACCTCCCAGCTGATTTTAAGTCCATTTGAGGCTGATTTCGCCCTCCCGGAGGCTCGAGGGAAACCTCTGTAGCTTCGGGAGGCCGAAATACCGGAAGTATTTTTTCGGAAATACCGGAAGTGCCAAAACGGGCTCGTTTTCAGCCTCCCGAGGCTCCAAAGGCTTCCCTCGAGCCTCTGGGAGGGCGAAACCAGCCTCCCCCAGGCTCCAGAGGCCCTGAAAACAGGCACTTCTGGTATTTCTGGAAGGCCCATTTTTTGGCCTCCGGAGGCTGCAGAGGCTTCCCTCAAGCCTCCGATAGGGCGAAAACAGCCTCAAGTGGGCCGAAAATCAGCTGGGAGGTGCGCACATGCGCAGTGCAGGTAAGTTTGGTACTGGGGCTCACGTGCCTGCACAAATGGCTCTGCGTGACACCTGTGGCGCGCATGCCATAGGTTCGCCATCACGGTTCTAGAGTTTCAACATCTTTTTTTATGTCACGGTAATCCAATCTGGGTGCATTTCATTCATGGACACATCTGTAGGCCTCTGCAATCACATGGACTCTTAGCGGCTTCGCTTTGAAAATACAAACAGACCCCCGCATAAACATTAAAACGGGGCTCTAAAAATAGAAAGGGGAGAAGTGTTTTGCATGCATTTGCATACATTTGCATTTAATAACACTGCTAGAGCAGTGAACATGGGTGCTGAAGCTTTGCAGCAAATTGCTCATCAGTTGCGCCCTCGGATATGGTCCTCACAATTGCCTCCCCTTTTTGTGGCTTGCCGAGGTTTTATTTTGCAAGAAAACAACCAAGCTCAGAGACCATCAACGATCCCACAGTTGTCATCCTCCTCCTCCTCCTCACAACAAACCCCTCTCCTCCCTCCTCCCTCTATAAACCCACTTCCTTCTAGTACTGATGATGTTACCTAGCTGGGCAATGAAATGTCTACAAGAAAGCCACCATGCTCAGAGACCACAAAGGATCCCACAGTCGTTGTCCTCGTCCTCCTCCTCCTCCTCCTCCTCCTCCTCCTCCTTGCAAACCCTACTCCCTTCTAGCACTGATGACATTACCTAGCTGGGCAATGAAACGCCTGCCAGAAAACCACCAAGCTCAGAGACCACCAAGGATCCCACAGTCGTTGTGGCCATCATCGTCATCCTCCTCCTCCTCCTTCTCGCAAACCCTACTCCCCTTTAGCACTGATGATGTTACCAAGTGGGCCACGCAACGTCTGCCAGAAAACCGCCCAACTCAAGAGAAAACCACCAAAGCTCAAGTGGACGCAGGCCTGTCTTCCTTCCCCACGTCAACCCAAACTGGCAGCTTCCTCAAGGCACCCACACTCTGGCTTCTAGATCCCCCCCGGGGGCTCTTCCCCATCAACTTACACAGCATGTTGGTCACCTGCCTCCGGCGTGCTTTCTTCTGCTGGAGATGGGCACTCCAGTAGTCCGAGCGGCTTCCTGTTTTGGCCTCCAGAGCCTCCAGCAGCTTCTCCTTCCGCAGCTGCAACCCGATGAGCAGGTAGAGGACGCTGATGACGGCCATGGGGATGAAGAAGAAGAGGATGGTGGTGAGCTGGATGAGGAGGTTGTAGACCACGGGGGACTTCACCAGCGTGCAGGTGTCCGAGTCGGGAACCGGCCCCCATCCTGGCACATAGAGGGTCTGTATCCCGTGTAGGCTGGTGTTGGGGATGGAACAGACAACAGAGAAGAGCCACACTGTGACGATGACCTTCTGGGCGTGCTTCTTGGTCACCATGTACTTGGCCTTCAGAGGGTGGACCACGGCGATGTAGCGCTCCACGCTGAGGGCCGTCACATTGAGGACGGAGGCAAAGCAGACGGCCTCGAAGAGCAGGGTCTTGAAGCGGCAGCCCCCGGCCCCTAAGAGGAAGGGGTAGTTGCTCCACATCTCGTAGAGCTCCAGCGGCATGCCGAGGAGAAGCACCAGCAGGTCCGAGACAGCCAAGCTGAACAGGTAGTAGTTGGTGGGCGTCCGCATAAAGCGATGACGGATGATGACCACGCAGGTTATAATGTTGCCCACGGCCCCCACTGCGAAAATCAGCAGGTAGGTGGTGCAGACGGGGACAAAGAAACCCGAGCGGCGAGGGCCCAGGTATCTCGTACGCAGCTCCTCGGCTGTCATGTTCAGCAGCTCGGGGTCAACGGAGCTCGGTTTTCCCTCGGGTGTGCTTCCGTTGATCGAGTCTCCGGGAACCACCAGGCCCAGCAACTCCATGGGCGGGGGAGGGGAGGGAGGAGAATTGGAGCAGTTGGCCGAGGATGGCAGTTGTTAAACGAAGCATGCAGTCAGTAAGCGAATTTGGGGTTCCTCCCCCCCTTGAGTCAGGCTGGAGAAAAAGAGCAGTTAGTTAGCAAGCTGGCATGGTGGAGGGGGGGGCTGTGTGGCTGAAGGCTTGAAGTTTTCAGAATATGAGTAGGCCGGGAGTTCTCGACTTACGACCGCAATTGAGGACATTTCTCTTAGCAATCGCCGTTAGACTTATATACCACTTCGCAGTGCTTTTACAGCCCTCTCTGAGCAGTTTAGAGAGTCAGCCTCTTGCCCCCCACCCCCCAACAATATGGGTCCTCATTTTACCCACCTCGGGAGGATGGAAGCAGGGGTGGGATCCTGGGGGCTTGCAGGGGCTCAGGAGAGTCCCTAGCTAAGACCCTGCGAAGCTCAGAGAGCCCCCAATAACCTCAGAAAGACAAGCAGCCAGGGAAAGCTCTTCATAGGCTTAATTGAACTTCTGGGCGTTCAGCCAAGAGCATTTCACACCTGGTAAAAGTGTAGCAAGCTAGATAAACACTCCACTCAGTAGTTGCAAGGGGGAGCCATTGAGAAAATCAGATCACATAGCCACTAGATTCCGAGGGG